AAATGAAAACACACATGGAAACACTCTGAAAAAGTTCAAATTGTTACAGAAATAGAAAGTTTTAATAAAACCAAAGGCTGATAAGAATGGAACTCCCAATTTCTGCTGGTTGGTGTTCTAGAAATTCTTACTGTCTCCAGACAGATCCGAGTGGTACACTTGACTCTCTGTAGGGAATATTCTCCCTGTTTCTATTGGCTTTTCAGGCCAAGTGAAACCTGATCACAGCTTTCAATTCTTGATATGTACCCCAGGAACCTGCCTGATTTCTACTGACAGATTACTCTTGGAGATGCATCTCATTGGCTCAGGTGCAAAAGAGGCATGTTTCCACAACTCCAAGCAGTAACAGAGGCCATCAGGAGCTTCTGGGCTATTTCATTCACTCTCTTTCTCAAAAGGCACCCACCCCTTCAACAGTCTCTGACAGTTTGGGACTCATGATGTGCATTTGCAGTATGGGAAAATTTGGAAGCAATGTGTATGTAAAGAGACAGGAGGTCAGACACAGGGTTGAAGGCTGGCTGTGAATGGCCACGCTGATTTCTCCATTTCTGGAATTTCAGGTTTCTCTGGCACATTGTTTCCAAGAGCTGTTACTGAACATATCCCTACATTATAGATTGCACTAGGTGTATGAAATCCATGGATTTGGGATATGCTATACCATGCAGGTGAGGGGCCTCCATTTTATTTTGCTTAGAGGTTAGTTTGTATTCATGCCATTAGTCACATATAAAGACTAAATACTACAGGAGCAAATGAGTCCAATTCCTACACCCCTCTTAGAGGGTAGCAAGAAATCCTGAGTCACCCCGATGAGCTAGAGAGAGGGGCTATTGGTTGCCTCTCAAATGCATGTGGTTTTATACTCCTTGTTGAGTTCCATGGTAGCCTATGAGTGTGAGGGAGGGTTTTGCTTCTGCAGAGTGAGCTCCTGGGGTCCACGCTGACCCCTCACCTGTTTAGCTCTTTTCACATTCCCTTTAGGGTTTCAAGATAGACCAGCATCCTGTGTGGCAAATCCTAAGTAGTAATTTCTGGCTCCTTGAATTTCATTCACCTCGTTTCAATTTCACTCCTAATGTACTATGGTTCTTAATTTAAAAGGAAGGATTTATGTGCATATAATAATTTCAAAGGGGAACTCAGTATCTATTATTCCATACTGCCTTTCTGCCCTTGAGCTCACAGGCCTTTGTAGATGACAAGGAACTGTATCTGGAAGGGTATTTTTGACTTGTCCGGAGGGCTGCCTTTCTGACTGATCAGCTTTAGAGAATTCCTATTGTTAAACTATGAAACTTTTGTCCAACCAGAAGCCTGAGGGAAACCCTCCAGCAAGATTCTTTATACAGATCTGTACAGAAAAATGAAAGGTCAAATAGGAGGGCTTCCCTTTCCAGCAGTTCTTAGCCAAAGAATGAACTAGGAGCAAACTCTTCTGTAGAGAAATGCATTAGGAATTAGGTTCCCAATGCAGG